CCCACTGTGCCCACCTGTCCCCAGCCCACTGCGGACTCCACGGGTGTTGCTGTGGACTCCCAGTCCCCGCTGGCTCCCCTCCGGGCACCGACGGCCATCCCCGTGCTCTCTCCCCAGGATGGCACGGTGTTCGACGGCCGCCCCATAGAGTCCCTGTCCCTGATCGACGCGGTGATGCCTGACGTGGTGCAGACGCGGCAGCAGGCCTTCCGGGAGAAGCTCGCTCAGCAGCAGGCCAGTGCGGCGGCCGCGGCTGCGGCGGCTGCGGCCGCGGCGGCCACGACGGCCACGGCGGCTCCGACAGCCGTTGCTCAGCAACATCCACCAAAGAACGGAGAGGCCACGGTGAACGGGGAGGAGAACGGAGCCCACGCGATAAGTACGTGCGGGGCTCTGGGGGTGGGCGAGCTTCTGGCGGTTTCTCTGCTCTGTCTGTGTGAGTCGGCTAGACTCTTTGCGATCTGCCCGCCGTACGTTCTTAGGCGTGCTATCCGCGTGCTGTTTGCCTGCGAGAGCTTCACACCGTTTTCGGGAGGTCCTTGGATGCGACGGTCTGGACGCACATAGCCCTGATTTTCGGGCACCGGGCTCCTCTGAGAGCTCCTTTCGTACAGCAGCGAGCAGCACTGTGTGACTACCGTTCGACATAAAAGGGTTTCATTTGTGGAGGCCACGGGTCCTGTCATTCAGCCTCCCGTGCTGAGCGGGTTCGGCCGAGATCCGCTGGAACAGTTCAGCTCACAGATCGGCCCGAGGTCCTATCCAGAGAACCTGACTCTGCTCTGATCTGCGGCTTACGGTCTCAAAGACTGCTTCAGGGTCTAAGTTCCAAGTGTGTTTTTGTGTGTGTGTTTCTTAATCTTCCGTCAAGGAAAGCAATTTGGAATTGGTGAACTTGAAGAAATCCGTACGTCTGCCAAGACAGAAATTTTCCCAACTTGTAAATTGCACGGATTTCTTTTATTTTCATTTCTTTATGTTTATTTATTTATTGATTTATTTTCACATTTTATTTGTTTTTGGGGGAGAGACAGAGCACAAGTGGGGGAGGGGCGGGCAGAGAGAGAGGGAGACGCAGAATCCGAAGCAGGCTCCGGGCTCCGAGCTGTCAGCACAGAGCCTGACGCGGGGCTCGAACTCAGGAGCTTTGAGATCGCGACCTGAGCCGAAGTGAGATGCTTAACTGATCGAAACCCCCCGGGCGCCACAGAATTCCTTTTAAATCTTAAGAAACGTAATGGAGCATGGCTGCGTGCAGACATGCACGCTTCTTAAAGCACGCTGGCCACACACACACACAGAGCCTTCCATCCAGGGGTGCCTCTGGGTTGACGTGCTCGTTCCGGGGAGCATCCCTGACAGCTCGCGGCCACCTCCTCCCTGCCACGTTGTCCTCCGCCTTCCGCGTTCCCTCTGTTCCCTGAGGCCTGCTGCCACCTGCAGTTTGTGTCATCGTGCTGCAGCGCAGGTTGAAACCAGACCGTGGTGTCTGAGGTGGTATTTTATGCTGACCTTCAAGAATCTTTCCTCTCCTGCCGCTCGGGAGGAAACCAGCCGCCCCCCGGGATGGTTTCCAGGTGGCATTTAGCACGGCCGGTGTCCACGGTCACCAGCCTTCCTTGGGCATTCAGAACCCGGATCCCGTGGTTCATCCGGGGCAGGCCTGTCCGCTTAGAAAGCATGGCGGTTCTGCTCCGCTCGAGAACTCCGACACGAAGGTGACTTCAAGACGCTAACGGCACCGGGCCCCCGCGAATACGAGGGTGTCTGCAGGCAGGGGTGCGGGGTGGCGGGCATTCCGCAACAATGGTGGCGTCTCCCGGTAGGAGCTTCACAGACAAAGACGTGATACTCAGGAGCGCCTGCATGGCTCAGTCGGTTACGCGTCCAACTTTGTCTCAGGTCACGAGCTCACGGTTCATGGGGTCAAGCCCTGCATTGGGCTACGTGCCGATCGTGCGGAGCCTGCTTAGAGTTCTCACTCTTTCCTTTGTCTCTGCCCCCTTACCCCCAACTTGTGCTTGCTTTCTCCCTCAAAATAAATAAACTTAAAAAAAAAAAAAAAAA